CATCCATCCATCATCATATCTTCTCCACAAGGTAACCCCTTTTTTATTATATTAATTAGCTAATTAATTGATTAATTATTCAATTAATTTGCTAATTAAACACAAATCATGAACTTGACCCACAAATTCATCCAAGTGGCCAGTCCATCTCCTCCTAAGGTGGCCGGCCCCACCTTCTATATAAACACCTTCATTCTCTCCAAAACTTAATTCCAATTCTCTGGCTAAATTCTCCAAAGGAGGAAGAAATTTGCATCCACACTAACTATCATCATTAAAGCTCCTAAACATGAAATAAAGAAAAAGGAAGGAGGCACGTGGGGCTATGAGGCTAGGGTTTGAAGCTACTAAAGAAAATAATAATAAAAGGTGTGGGCTGTTGCAATATATACGGTAAGTTTACAGAATTTGCAATGCACGTGCTTTTGTGAGGTTATTTTTTGTTTTTTATTTTATTTATTTATTTATTTTTGTCCTTATCATTAAATAAAATTATAGGATGATTTTTTTGTTAAAATGCAAACTTTTGAAGTCCTTTTCATTAATTTTCTTTAAAATAAAAGGAAATGGGAGAATGGAAGTATAGAAGACGACGTCCGAAGAAGCAAAGAGAATCAAAACGAAAGTATGATTCCTTTTGTTGACCTGCAACATGGGTAACAATTCCCAGCTCTCTTTGTTATTTCCATAGCTGCTTTGTATCAATCTTTCTTATTACTTTTAATACTATACATTGGGTGTGTTGATCGAAATATCATGTTTTAGGTTTTGGGTAAAAAAATTCAATTCCTTGTTAATTATTGAGTATAATTGAAATCAAAGTTGTAAACATGATTTTGAATTGTACGGAAGTATTCTGAAGTTATACTTGGATTAGAAGAGTATGGGTTCTAAGTTGCAGGGAACTTAGAAAAACTATGTTTCAACTTTCAAGTAGCCTATTTGGCTCTTTGTTTCTATGTCCTTATGGATTCCTTTTGATCCATTAATATGTGTTTTTGAAACTAGACATGTCCATGATCAAAGCCCATTTGATTTCACTTAATTTTGTTGAGTTTTGATATGTTAAAACCATGTACAAACTTGAGTCACGAAGCTTCCAGACAGCAGCAAATACTGGGTTTCTAGTTTCGAGGCTCTTTTTGCATCTTGCATCACTTTCAACTTAGAACCCTGTTTCCTACAAATCTTATATGCTCTTAATGTACTTAAAACAAGCTTCAAATCCCATGTAAGTTTGCATCATTTGTTATAGTTATGGGTGTTCAAAATTGGGCTTAATCTTGGTTGACTAAAACTGTTTTTCTGCGACTTTTGTGGAGATGAGGCTGCTGCTTTTGCAATGTTCATTCTTCTCACAATTTTATTTATAGTTTACTTATCTATATTGAGTTTGTGTTTAAACCACTTGATAAGGTTACGTATGTGGTACCAAAAGAACCATTTTCTTATACAATTATGTGACAATGTATTTATGTACTGAGGCATTTATAATTTCTCCTACACATATTTCACTTTTCTTGTAAAAAGTATACCTATATCCACTGCAATTCACAATCTATTTTATACATATATTTCCACACTGGTGATAGTTGTTATTAATATCTATTTTTCCAAATCATTTTATATCTATGTAAGTATATGTAAATATGCATTCTTCACTTATTCAGGTTGTGTAATACATATTTGTATATTTATGCATAAGCATGCATGTTCTTGAACTACACCAAAATAGCCTTTACGTTCGTAAATCTTTTTCATATGCTGCTGCAGCTGCTATGTAATCCTTGTGTTAGTAACTAAGAACAATGCTTAGGAATCCAGGTAGTGAAAATACGACATATTTTTATGGAAATTGATTATATTTAACTTCGTGAAATGTTATATTATTTATCTCATTGGTTGATTACTCTAGTTGGATGCTACTTGAATGCGTGCAGATCATTGGATCACTTGGATAAGAACTGAACTATCGGTTTTGTTGGATATTTATTGGTTTGATTACGGCTTGCGTACACACACACACACACACACACACACATATATATGTATGTATGTATATGTATGTATATGTATGTATATATATGTATGTATATGTATGTATATGTATGTATAAGATGGAATCCTTATCATGCATTGCAGTAATGAGAGGAATGGTTGGTGAACTACGAATGACTTGATCCCATCTTAGAGTACGTAGGTAGTCTAATATAGAGGTTAGATGTAACCATATGCTTAAAGAAAAATTACTACACTATTGACACATTGATTCGTGTGTTGATCATGTCTCGGAGGTGGGGCATGAAAGATGAAAAGGTATGTGATGATATCATGTGTCAATCCTGGACTTATCTCAGGATCAGGAAGTGACACATTTTCTCCGGCCTTGGTGCGCGAGAAGTGTTCATTCTCGCTTGGCCCACAGGCACGTGCACGTTCACGGTTGGATCCACACTTTGACGAACACTCAAGGCCTGAATTCAGGCGCAGTGTCCACTGGCGACTTGGCTTGTAAAGAGTTCCTCCCACCTCACACCAAAACAGGCAACAAGGGGAATGTGAAGAACTCAAGGACATTCAGGCTCAAGTTCAACTGACACTCAAGACTGAGCGCAACCACGAGTTGCCTACTCGCCAGCCAAAGATGAACAAAGTGTACTACAGCTGCAACACGGACGAGCAAACCTCTGAAAGAGCAGCACAGATTTGTAGACTATACCGCCAGAGGCGCCACCGCCCTAGCAGAGGCATATCCAGGAAAAAGTAGAAAATTTCAGGCTCAAGATCAACTGGAAACCAACACAATGCGCAGTTGTCAACCAGAGAAGGATGACGTTTACTGTAGTCGCAATATAGACAAGCAGACTGCCGTGAAGAGCATCACAAATCTGCAGACCATTGCCAAGGACAGTCGATGGCACCATTGCCCAGCAGAGGCAGATCCAGGAGGAAGTAGAAAGGCTCTTAACTAAGTGATTGCGTGATTTCAATCGCATTGTGACCATGGATGAAGCGCATCCAAAGCATATCCAAGGGATCCTGGGTACAAAATTCCCAACCATAGATCCAAAGTCTGACCATACAAGCAACTGCTCTCAACGGACTTTTCTCTCGATCTACCGCCCGATGCAGACTTTTTTTTCAAAACTCTAAAGAAGGCGCAGAAGAACAATTGGGAAAAGTGCGGAAAGGCAGTCCAAATTTTGTAGCAGTACCTGACTTCACGTCATTTACTATCCGAGCCAAAAGCAAAAGAGGAACACAAACCATCTACGAAAAAGAAGCGGGGGCGCGGGGGGGGGTAATGCGAACCATCTAACTTCTCTTTGTCATCAGACAATAAGCGTGCAAAGCTTGAAGGGACGAGTTGGTGTTCTGATGTCAGTTAAGGGTCTATGCAATTGTCTCAAAATACGCCAAAACTTACCTATCATTTTAGAAAAGTTGTGCTACTTTTCGTTTTAGATAATTGTTGCGTTATCTGTGTGAAAAATCATGCCTGTATGGTGTTTGTATTGCAGAATTAATGTATATATCTTATTACCATATACTCATCTTCCTTTGTCTTCTTTCCGGTTTTCCCAAATTGAATTTCTTCTCTTCATTTACCCAGTTGTTAAATTTACATTTTGTCCATATCTTTTCTTACATGCGCAGGTGAAGCATGTCGATGTGCTCAACAACAAAAGTCTGAGAATTCGAGGAGAGGTACGTTGTATTTCAAGTACATGTTCTATTTTCCTTCTAAAAAGCTTCATTTCATTTCTTTACAGCTCAGCAAGGAGACCTGGCCATCTTTCTTATTGTTATTTAATGGGCGTTTTGGATCAATATCTGGATTTTGAAAAAAATGGTTATCAATAATTATGAAGAAGACATAAGAATCTGCTATGGTTACGTTCTTTTTTTTTTTTCAGATTCTTCAATTTTCAATAATTGTTGCCTTTATTTTCATTATTTCGGTTTCCTAATTAATTTGAGAAAATTTGGATACCAATTTAGTGTTCTTTTAGTGTAGAAAAGATAATGAGTCTTATGTGTCGTACACAAGATATTTCCATATTTATAAAAGGACTTTAGAGGCACATAGCACCCTTGATTAAAAAAAGAAAAGAAAATGAGGACGTGCATAAAGGCTAGTAGAAGAAAAAAACAAGGATATTAATTATAAAAATTATAAGTGGAATATAGGATATATGAAATACAAAAAGTTGAAATGGCAAAGCGAATTTTAGAAGTGGTGGTCTTTCATGAGCAAGACAATGGTTTTACATGTTTTCAAACGCCGAGTGGGTGGGAGCTGAGCCGCTGAGGATTGAACTCGGACACTCTCACACCCTTAAGCGAAAATCATACCACTAGACTTTATGAATTGTTCAACAAAAATTAAATGGGAAACCTTAATAACAAGGTTTCGTGGTGTAATTGTTCTACAAAAATTAATTGCGAAAATTATTCCCAAATTTAGTAGCCAACTTGTTAATATGTTATATTAACTAGATCTGATGTGCTCTCTCTGTGCCTTTGAATTTGAATCCCTCGAGATTTTGTTAAAGTACAATGTCTCTTGTAGATACAAAAGTAAGAGCAAAGTCTCGGTCATTGTGTTGTAATTATTTTTTCCCAAATTGACAGACATTACCAAATGACATACTATACTTATGAATGTAAGATTTGTGAAGTAATCAATTAACTGTAAGCACAGACAAGAGCAAATAGTGGATTGTCCTTGTTGATAATGCCCTTTCTTTAACTCACTGTGTCACGGTTCAAACCTCCCAACTTGTTTTAATACAAGTAATAATACTATAATTTACACACAAAAAATGAGAGATGATTTGAACACGAGACATATTAGGTTGAAGGGGAAAACTCTTACCCTCGCTCCCTCCTATTAATTCCTAAAGCCCATATAAGTTACTTTTGTTACAGCCCAATACTTGATTAAAGTCCATTAAATGGTTTAAGGACCAATAGGCATATTCCCTCATCTTTCTTTTATTTTTGTCTCACTTCTGTCCTTTTCTTCTCTCAACGACTCTCTTCGTTTTCTCTGCTCAGCTCCCAAATCAAATCAAAGGAGAGTGAATCAAGCCCATATCGCACTCTCAATAGTTATCTGCTCCCTTCTCTCTTTGCTGCCTCCTTTTTCTCTTCTGTCTTCGACATAAATCTTGCCTCCCGCGGTAGAGTCGAACTTCTACCCTTCTCAGTAGTCACTGCCTCTGCAGAAATTGGTAATATTATTTTGCCGAATTTTCGTTTTTTTTTTTTTTTTTTGCGTTAATGTCTATTGAGTAATTCCTGGTTGCATTTGTATGTGAAGTTCAATGGCATACAGAGGGCGCGGCCGCGGACGCGGTGGATTTTCGGGTGGTGGCGGTTTTGGCTTTGCTAAGCAAGAGCCCTTTGTGCTTTTTCCTGTGGGCTTTTGTTGCTGCAGTTTTTGCATATGTTTGGCAGTTTGCTAGGTTTCCCTGAATCAGAGGCTTTCCATATTTAACGTCGAAGCTTTTCCTTGCAGGACATTGATTTGCCTATTCCCAAAGGTATATCTGATCTACAGCAAAAAACGGACGCTGTTATTGAGGAAGAAAACTTAATCAATCAAACTCGCAAGTTCCAAAAAATTTGGAAAGACTCTCCTTATTATCTTGAGCAAAGCACTTCGAATGGTTAGCATGATGTTCTTTGGAGTCCATTATTCTTTTTCATTTATGCAAGATAGTGGAATAAGCAATCTATGAAGCATGTGTATTTCCCTTTCTTTCTCTCGATAAGATATGTATCATGGTCATTCTTTTGATGTTGCGGAGAGCATTTTCGTTGTTCTGGTATGTTTCAACTCGTTAAATAGATTAGCAACGCTGTAGAGATGCTTGTATGGTGTGTACGGGTAAACTTCTGTATACGTAGTTCCGATGCAATTCGCACACATGTGTTGGAAAGCTTTGATCTTAAAAAATAGTCAAACAATATGGATATGGTTGGAGATGAATACATATTTATAACGAATGTGAAATTGATCTCATCAAGATTTTACAGTAAGATGTAAGGGGAAGTTCACGCATCCCTTCCAAAAACAACACATTTTCTTCTGTTTGTGGCCATTATGAAAAGTGGCACACAATCATCAAATGTTTAATCAAAGAAGATTCATAATTCACAATAATTTGTAACATTCGTTGTCCTCAAAATGATATTTTTTGCAAGCGGCACTGCTCCTATTTCGTGTTCACAATATATGTTTTAAGCTGATTTTTGCTATAGTTGCATTATATCCGACATATGAACGCTTGTACTTTTCTTTATTCCTACAAGTTACAGCCTGTCAGTTCGTTAAAAATATAGGTCCGTACTGGCATTTTATTCGAATACCGTATTACTTCTGATTTGATTCTTAATCATTTTTTGGCTTCTTTTGTAATCATAGCAGGTTATGTTTGATAATATATACTTCTTGAACATGTGGTTGCAGAGAGGCAAAACGAAGATGTAGAAAGATATTCTGACAGAAGAAAGCCAAAAACCACGATAAGACGCGGTTCTCTTTTTAGTATATTGGAGCTCAAGGGATTTCCTCAAGAACTGACTGGAGGTCTCTTACTCTAAATAGCCATACTAAAAAAAAAATTGGAATAGTATTCAGAATGCTATATTTTGTTTTATGTTGTCTTCATGCTTTTTACATTCATGCTGATGCAATGGTGTATCAGGTTCAAGGGTGCAGCAGCCAGGTCGAAAGAGAGTTCGATGGAATCCTAACTCAGGTCTTATGAGATTAGATGCTTTCCTTTTTGTGCTGTCTTCTATCATATGTTTTTGTGTTTTTCTCTGTTCGTTAGGAATTTTGAACATAACTGATTAAAAATATCGCTCTAACAGGGCTGGAGAAGTTGGATTTATTTGAAAAGCTCGAGCAGCGTCAGGTATGAGAAAGTCTTTAGTCTCTCTAACTACAATACTTTGGGTCAAAGATCACTCTATCAACATTTGTTTATGAAAAGAATCTATTATATGTGTTCTAAAGATTTTTCTTATCATTGGTAGTTTAATTTTTGTACGCATTAACTTTCTTTGCCAATAACGTTTCTCCTTTGTAGGGCCAAAATGATACAAAAGAAAAGAAAGAAGGTGAAGGTGAGGATGAAGATGAAAATGAAGAGGAGGAGGAACAAGAGGAGGAGGACTTTAGTGATGATGATTATTATAAGGTTCGTAAAAGAAATATTGGGTCTTATATGTTTATTAGATTTTTAAATCATCTATACTAATCACTTCAAAATGGTCATTCGTTGTACTTTGTTTATGTTCATCGTTACGATTTTCATTGCTTATATTTGCTACCTGATTCCTCACTTGTTCAGAAATAGGAGGCATGTTGGTACAGAATGGATAAGGGCTATTTTAATTTAGTTTCATGTATAATTTGTTTCCGTTCTTATTATTTTCTTGTTTCTAGTAGGATTAGGACCATGTGTGGGAAAACAAAATATTTCTGATCAACCTATGGTCTTGCAGGGCTTTGATGTTGATGATGATGAAGATGATTATAATATGGAAGATGACGGTGACGGTAGGAACCATTCATCTGATCCACTGCAATTTTTATCACACTATAGCATGGAATAATTGAGCTTGTGAATTTACTAATAAGCTTACCCTTTTCGTTTGAATGATGCAGACGAACCCCTTTTATAGTGAGAAGGTGTTGCATACGATGTGTTCATCTCATTTCTCTTCGATCAAATGGGGTATGGCTGTGCAATCAGTTACTAATTTTTTGGTACAAACGTCTTGTTCTTCGAGTAAATGATGTCTTAGTCTGCCAACTTTACAGCTTTATTTTGGACCTTCTAGTGTTTACCAGATCGGTCATGCATTGACGTTGTGTATTGTCGTAGACAGTTACAGATAGAAAATAGGATTTGATGGAAGGTAATTTTCTTGAGTTTCTACTGTTTTGTAGTTTGCTCTTGAATCCAAGTTTTTAGACTCCGAGAACATAAAAAATCGAAGTCAGTGCTTGGTAAGGCTGTTTCCAAACAACTCCTCTGAGTCCAATCTAGCCCCACTGCTTTAGGATCGGCCTCTGAAGACTTCGCCCAAACAACAGCGCCGCTTGCCGTCAACCTGGTTATCTTCCTATGTCGAACAACTTTCAACGGCACGGGGACTGGAGAAGCTTTTCTCCGACGTCTACGTCCGCTTGGGATCTTGCCATTGCATGTGTATGGCTTAATAAGCAAGAATAGTGATCGTATTTAGGTCCATCTTAAATTCACATGGCACCAATGAGTTCACGGAGTGAGACATAAAAAAACAGTTAACTAGATAATTAAGCGGGATTTAAAGAATAAACCAAATCGTTATTTAGGTCCATCTTAAATTCACATGGCACCAATGAGTTCACGGAGTGAGACATAAAAAAACAGTTAACTAGATAATTAAGCGGGATTTAAAGAATAAACCAAATCGTTACGGCCCCAAATTGCCAGAGTGAAAGTATAATTAACCTTATACTAAAATTATTGAAGTGCATAAACATGACTACTTTATGCTACAACGAAGAAGCACCATTTGCAATAGAACTCGTATGACTTGCTAAAACACAAAGATGAAAGTTTTCTGCACACATAAAGTTTTGATAAAATGCTATGAATTTCCTTAAAAAAATCATCATTTCAAGATAAGAGGTATTGATCCTTATCGACAAATATTATTTAACTCCTTACATAAATTAAACAAATTGATTTTCATCATGAGGATGTTATTTGTTACCATATATAATGGTCTCCAAATCGTAGACAACCTTAAGAGGATGATAAAGAGAAGAATCGATTTCAATTATGACGTTCGTACAATGAAATGATGTCATATCTTTATATAATGAGAAGTGACTTGTTTACATATAAGAACATGGCCAAGTATTGATCCTTGTGGAATAAACAGTAAGAATTAATTCGGGACAACCGGGCTGGACTTAGGGTAACTGAAAATGAAAGCCCACAAAATGGATTTGAAGGGATATTTTGGTAAATCAAACATGGGCCACAAAACCCTAGTGTGATTTGCTTTGCATTTCACCTCCTATATATACAGGCCGCACACTCTCATTCTCTCATCCTCCTCCTCTTCTACTCTCCGTGTGAGCCTGCAAAATCCTCTATGATTTGTTTTTATAAATGTATTTTTGTTTGAGTTTGATGAGTAAATATGATATAAAAAGCAAGCAGGGATTGTGTGTATCGGCGTAGTGCTAGAATCAATGCACTCTGATCCGAAAGAGTTCCCTGCAACATCAAATCAAAAGGGGAAGGTGGGCAGTTGTTCTTCATCCGCCTGTTGAAATTTCAACAATCATCTTCCCCATATTCCTTTCTTTTCTTTTACTAACCCTCTCTCGTAATTAAGGTTCCTGGGTTTTGATTCGTTTGTTACTTTTTATTCCATGTTTATGTATGATTAAAATTGAATTTATAGGCTATATTAGCTTGAAATTGTTTCTCGAATTTGGGTTTCTCTCTGTTCTCGTTGTGATTATTGAAGCTCAAATCTGGATCAAAGAGTTTCTTAAATACAATTAACAAAAACACGAGTATTAAATGGGTAATATTGATTTTTTTTTTTTTCCTTTTATTTTTGTAGGAATGGTAAATTGCTGGAAAGACGATCATGAAAAATATATTGAAAATGCTCGTAATTTAGGGTTTTTGGGAAAGATATGTTGAAAATGCTCGTAATTTAGGGTTTTTGGGTTAGGCTGAACTGCAAAGACAGGGCCCCTATTGGGCCACATTGGAAGAAGACTTGGATTTGAGCATATATATTGTTCTTATAATTGGGCCTATTTTAACGTATTTGATGCAGACTGGTTTGCTATCTTCTGGGCTTTGGTCTATACTCGACCAAAAAATATTTAACAATACTTGAACGTGAATTTATTTTCACTCCTTATCAAATTGTAACCATGAGACTGACTAAGAGTTCGTTTGAATGTAATTTTAAAATAATTGAAAGTATTTTTGGTAAAAATATTTTTGGAAACAATCCTTAGTAAAACTACTAATAAATCTTAGAAAGCACCTTAAATTGCTTCTTAAAGAAGTATATAACCAGTGCTTCTTGTAGAAAAGCACTTAAAGTGTTTTTTGAACCTAAAAGTATTTTTTCTAAAAACGCTTTCAATCATTTAAAAAACACGTCTAAATAACTCCTAAATCAAATAGAATGACGAACTACAAGTTAACCAGAACTAGTATGGTTTGATATGGTGCGGTTTTGGGGTAAAATTCAAAATGAAATTGAAATTTATTTCGGTTTGGTTTTACAATGTGAATTGGAATAGAACTGAACCATTTGGTTTTGGTCTGTTTTGGTTTCAAATAGTTTTGTTTTTCGGGTTGGGCCTAAATTTTGGGCCTATTAAAAATTGATTTCAATAAAAGTGTTCAACATTCAAACAAACTCAATAGTCCAAAACTTAGTCACTTCCAAACTAAATGCTTTATAGCATTAATACAAATCAATTAAAAAAAAATTCATGATCACCATATTGAGGACGAGGAGCGATTCGTTTGGAGATTGGTTGGGATTGGTCGTGATTTGCAGTGTGACTATATGATAGGGCAGAATGAATGAATGAAAGAGACGAAAAGGACGGGGCAGTAGAGGATGTGAGAGGAGGAGATATATGTGTGTTGTCGAGACTTGAATTGGTATCAACTCAAATAGTCTAGGCATGTTATGATATGGTTGAGTCCACACTAAATGTATAGACTCAACCAAATAACCAATTACCCCCAATACCTAATTAGCGATTAAATTAAAAAAAAAAAGTTATATTAAGCGTCTCAGTTCATTTTCAGTTCGGTTTCAAAAATTAGGAAATGAAATCATTTAGTTTGCTGTTCAGTTCCTATTAGGAACTAAAGTTATTTAGTTTGCAGTTTGGTTTCAAAACCGCAAAAAATGAACCATTTAGTGCAGTCTAATTTAGTCTATTCCGTTTCAATTTTCGATTTCAAAATGTCCACCGGTAACCAAAATCATTTACCCTTGCCATCGAGATTTAAAATTTTCCCTCCTCCAAAATGTCCTTTGTCCTAAAGAGAGGGTAGTATTTGATTGGTTGTTGCAGAAGTGTGTGTAGGCCCATAGCCAGAGAGCTAGGCAACGGCAGGGTAAAGGCCTATTCCGAATGGAATAGGATTCTCTCCCCTCCTCTTTCCATCTCCTTCTGTACCCTCTTCTCATATTCTATATTTTGTCTTTCTTTTTCTATAAAAAATTAATATAAGATGTTGACGTGACTTAACTGCAACCGTTCATATAGGAAGAGAGGGAAGGGAGAAGAAACAAAAAGGAAGGAAGAGAATCCTACTCTATTCCGAATAATTCTGAACTGGGAGTGGAAATGTTGGGCTGCCCTGGGGTGGTCCATGGAGTTATGCACCTCTATATTTGTTTTATTAAATAAATTAAAAATAAATCGGTGTCAGATTTGGCATCCTTTGATAATGGTCCCGTTCAATCGCTACTCAAAGGATTAGGGGTGAGGTGGTGCTTAGCTGCTACAATATACGCCTAATTTAAAGTGATCCACATTCAACTTATATTTGGTTGGCATGGACTATTGTTACGTGAAATGTATATTCACCTTTATATAGAAGTGGTCCACGTTTAGTTTATATTTGGTTAGCACGGACTGATGTTACGTGAACCAGAACTATTCATATATATCCATCTTCATATGGTCCATATTTTGATTTCACGATCATTCGCGATGTAAAAGGGAAATCATGATCTTCAAGATCCGTTTATTAGGAGCTGAAGATTTACTCAAACATTGTTAATATAAAAAACAGGATAATCCATGCAATGTACTAATACAACTTTGGTGGACAAGTTTACTAGAACAGGATAATCCATGCAATGTATATTCAAATCATTTTTTTTGTCATTTATCAAAAATATCAAGATAAGTATTTACTGAATAGTGTAACCATAACCATAATAATCAATGAACTGGACTTGGTTGTTGCAAATTCAGTAGCAGCTGTTGCTGCTAAATTCTCTAGCAGCGAAGAAGTTAAATCCATAATCAATCCCCCATGCTTCAAAATTGTCCTAAAACCAATTGGTATTATTGTTTTCTTGACTTTGTACACCTAAATGATATATCCATTGAAATTTCCAAATAATATTATCCCATGTAGCATCATTTTCCTGAAAATCTTCAAAATCTAGCAACAAAACCATATGGTGTTGCCTTTTCCCTCGATGAATGCATGTTACATGCCTTTCATGTCCCCAAAACCCACTTTCAGAAGAGCAGTTGATGTTCTATACTCATGGACTACCTGATATCAGAATAATTGGACCGACTACCAATAATCCCCATGGGAAAATGGATGGATGGATCCGTTGAACATTATTGTTAGCATGCTGTATCAACAGTTGGGACACAGGTCGCCAAAATTAAAATTATGGGATTTTGAAGCTATCTTTTTCAAAATATATGGTCGGTGGGTCGATATGTTGTGGGATTCTTCTGTATTCGACTCGAGAAACCTCTCATACCATATGACAAATTGTTGCGAGCACTTGTCATGGTTCAAGCAAGTGTGCGTGATGAAATTTAAAGGCAAGACGGAGATGACTTATGATGTTTCTTTACTGATGGAGAAACAACTTATCTCTAACTCTTGGATTTCATACATTTGGTGCAACGCAATTGCGTGAATGTTCTAGACTAGGGTTTGGCGTCCATGCAAATCATATACCATCATCAGAATTGCTAGGGTTTTAGTCAATGTTCTTACCACTGAAGTTGTAGGTAGGAGAGAGGAAGGCAAAAGTTTAGATTTTATTTTTTGAGAGGAATAATATAGGGTATTTTCTGTACACAACAATGAAGGAGTAAATTACTACTTAGTAATGCAGTATAGTGATATTTTTCTCCATTTTATGTAAAAAGTTTTAGGTTCAATTCTCGTAAATGATAAGATCGATACCAACTATTATAGCTGACCCATTGTGTAGCTTAAGTCAATCTCCCACCGCCTTAACATAAATTATATATTTGTATTTAAAAAAAAAAAAGTAACGTATCAACTAGCTAGAATGAAATTAAAGTGAATAAGTTGTTGAACCAAAGAAAGAAGTTTGAGTGCCAAACCAACAACCCTTCGTACTAATAACTAGCAACTTTATGTGGAAAAATATCTGTAAATAAAGATCTCACTAGAAGTCTTTTGTACTCCCACAAAGTCTTTCTGGAAATAGAAGTTAATTAGTACCCCATCGCTCATTCAACTGTTCTTAAATAAGAAATTACTTTAATAAAGGTGGGATTTAGAAATGCTTCCTAACGTTTGGTAAAATGTAGCAACCTACACAAATCAACCTTAATACATCCTTCCTTTCCCCAAGTAGGAAATTAGCACCACTCTGCCCTTCTTGCAAGTATAACAAGTATAAATTTTTGTATCAAAGTTGGTGCC